GATGAAATCTTCCCCACATGAAGTAAAATTGAAGTTGGGGTACAGAGGAACTCCTGTAGAACAATGGATTTGTATTTGTTCATGCGAAGCAGGATAATCTGGGTATTGTAAACATGTTGTAGCTGTTCTTTTATATGTCAATTGATTTGCTCGTCATAATTAGTTTGAAACTTTTGAACTATCTCCAATTCTTCACCCGTTCACTGTTCACTAAACTAATGAAAATGTAATGTAAAAAAATTAACCAACTCAACCATCATCACTACCAACAGTGCCAACACTTTATGTCATTGACAAGTTTGAGTACATCAGCTACAGCAATCTGAATGCAATGTAGTCTATGCACCTTATCCTTAGACAACAGTTTGTTTTCCCCCAGTTTGAAGTTCGTATTATGTAACCTAGATGTCGAATACGTTTACATGGAAAAAACGCGGAAAGTCCACTTAAAAAATGTGAAGAAAGAGGAACGTCCATCAAGCTTAGTATACTTGCTTGCGAATACAGATTCCATTGTGATTTTTATAGGTTGTTTTCACACTGTCAAAAGGTCAAAGGGAACTCTCAGGCAAACAAAATATGAGGAAAAAAAGGGATACAACCACCTTTTTCTCATCTCTTGGAGCGTACGAAAGGGAATCCTTATAATGTTCGGAGAACATTGTGGGTACCTAGGGAGGATAGGGAGAGGAGGTATAGGTATTGGGATTTTCTTCAACTTTTGTAGATTATGAGTTCTTGGGAATACTCTCTTTGGCAAAAAATTCCAAAGCTTTGCCGTTCTATGTATAAAAGAGTTTTGGTAAAGAGTTGTTCGACATATTTCGAGGTTGACGACAAACAGGTGTGCTGACTGGGTTTGTCGAGTACGTCTGAGTGATGGGAATAAAATAATGAGATTGCTACATGATGATTTCTATTCATATCTCGTGGAATTCATAGAAAATGATCATTGGGTAGTCAGGCAAGCATGGATAAATGTACCAGAACAGATAATTGCGAGTGAACAATCCAGTTTTTTGACAATTTATTTGGACATTCCCCATTTTTCCGTTAAATCTTCGGACTTATTTTGTGTTTTCGATGATTTTTTCATTCAAATATGATTTTCATTTCTAGTTGTTCAACTTTATTGCTCATTATACTCCATCAAATGAATCCAGGTGGTTTGATTTCAGTTTCCTCCAACTTCCAGAAAGTAAGGAGGTTTTAAACTTCAAAACGCGTTTTTCTCGAAACTTGCTTTCTGTGACATTCCCCCTCTTTTTCCACTGTGGTGCTAGACCAATGAGTGGGTCAAAAGTGTATCTTGGAAACGGAGCTATTCCGCACATTATGTTCATGTAACCTTTTCTTATTTTCACTCAAAAAATGTAACCTTGAAGTTGCAATATCAATGAAATACCCATCAATTGAAAAAGATTTGTATGCAGTACCTATAGCTCGACGAAAAAATCAATGGAAAATATCATCAATATCCCAGCACCCACCAAGAAATCTGAAACAATTCTATCTCTGTGAATTTTCACACTATCCAAAGCTTGATAATACCACTGTTTGACTGAAAATTCCAATCCGATAAATTATCAAGTCCGAGGAGACTGTCTCGTTACAAGGAAAGGGCGAATCTAAAGGACTTAAGGGAGGAACATTTCCAGAATTCTCGTCAAGTTGCTACCGATGCCGTCTTCTAATGACTGCCAATGCTAGTCGGGGATAATCTGGATTACAGCGAATCCATTTTCTCCTAGTTGAAAAACGAAAGAAACCGAAGATTCGGCTATACGATCGCTTGAAAGAGAGCGCTTTGTAATTTGTGAGGAACGTTGTATCCAGAGTCGTCACCTTGGAAGGGATCATCAACCTATCTATGGATTAAGAGGGTATAATCATCCCCCATGTAACTCACCTTCTGCTCTATTTCATAAAGCTCTACTCTAGTAGAGGAGATCTTCTCATTCACATCCCTCCAGCTGTTGCTGATTCATCAGGAATCAAATCGAGATCACAAAGTGAGAGATTGTCCATAAAATCCATCGGATCTGTAGAGTTAAATCAAAGTGACCATGTTTATCTTTCTCTGGATTTTAGTGCTCTTTCATGAAGCTCTGCTGCTGCAGGGCCATGAGAATACGAAAGGAATAGAATGAAAGTCCAGGAGGACAATCACCTCCATATCCTGAAATGATTCAATAGTAGGTGATATCTTCTCTTTCAAATCTCCCTAGCTGCTGCTGAAACATCCAGAAGTCAAACCGAGACTAGTGAGAGATTACTCAGAAGATTCAATGGATCTGGGATGGCAAAAGAGTGTGAACTCATAGCTTGTAAATCAGAATCTTAGAGATGAAAAGCCTCGAGCAAGTTGCAGTACTCCTTAAGTATCCAAAGTCCGAGGAGACTGTCTCGTTACAAGGAAAGGGCGAATCTCGAGGACTTAACCAAGCATCGAAATGAATGTCCCCTGACAAGCTTATGTTAGGCACAGTGAGATCGGCTTTTCTAGAGAAAAGGCATGCTTGTGTTTTGTTTGCATTGAAATCTACCAAGTTATTGGGTCCCTTTCTCGTTCGTTTCTGATTTGCCTGGCTGGTATTGGAGCCCTGGAAGAGAAGGAGGTAGGTGTTGGTGCTAGAATTGATCCATGCGGAACACCAGCATTTATGATAGGAGAGTCAGATGAAACTCCGTCTACCACGACATGGAGACGTGTTTGAGAGAAAACTAGCTAGCAGAGAAGCAAGCCATAAGATGGAAGCTTGGCGAATGCCTTGGAGATATCAAGTGCCACGGCTAAGGTTTCACTCGAACTAGTTGCAGAACTTTTGAAGTATCCAAGTTGGTTCAACCATTCAGGCTGGGATAGTAATGTTTCCTACGGACAAAAGAAGCAAGTCCTGTAGAAAAGATAAACGAAATAAGAAGAAAAGCTAATCAATGTCTCATAAGGAAGTCCTGACAAGACTGAGACCCCTCTGTCCAAAACTACAGGGTCTAATCAGGGTATAGAATTCGCTCTCTACAATGGGGTTGCCACAATTCTCGAAATCCTGAAATATATACTCGTGGAGGAAGAAGAAGAAACTTGGTCCTCTCTGCAGGGTCGTTTCAGGTCTAATAAATAGTTATAGTTTATGCGAAGTCAGTTCAACAGATCATCAAACGAATGTCGGGTCACGCTGCCGCACTCTTTGAACTTTCAAAGGGACCGACAGCTTGCGGTGTGTATTCTTTCCAACTGACATTGCATAAACTTTACTAAAGATTGATTTTTGTAGAGGGGTGGCTCGTAACGCCACTGGTCGCAACATCTCCGGTAGTTACGTGTTTGTTAAGTCTGCCTTTGGTTTCCGGATAATGGGAATTAAAGGTAATAGCTCGGTACTTTTCGCGGCCATTACGTGATTATCGATCAAATAAACTGCGCTGTAGGTGAGGCCGAATTACAGGAGAAGAAGACGAGATAATTGGAAAGTTTAGAGAGTTAAGTAATTTTCTGTAGTTGAAAAACGCTGATCGAGTTATTATTGTGAAGGTTTTCTCCGAGAAGCTTAACACAATTTTTCACTCATCTGTGGGTTGGAGTTTTTTTGTTAACTGAATTGAGGATTCTTATTAGTCTGATAACGAAATGGTATATGTTCCAACGGCATGAAAAAACACCGTATTTTATCCAACGGCATCACCTGTGCCAATCACTATTCTGAGCAAAATTATGAAAAATGGCTCTTTCCTGTGCGATGATTTGCACTCAATTTCGTGATTTGATAAGAAGATGAGAATTTTGACATCCGATAGCAATGGAATGGTAGATCTCAAAAACTTTGCTGCCATTGTTACGGACAGGAACTAAAGTTCAACTTTAGCTCCTAGGAACTAAAGTTCAAATGTTGCCTAGCAAACATACCTACTTTTGTGTCAGTAATAGAAACGTGAATTTAAGAGCTAATTTTGGAATCAAAATGGACGACTTTTGTGTCGGTTGCAGAAAAAACTATTTGATATCGCTTCGAGATAGCTATATACATCTATCTAGCCGGCTTCCTTGTTATACATTCTACACGAATCTCGAGCACATGTCTTGTTTTCCCATGCAGATTACGAGACAATGACACAACGCTCGAATAATAATAATACACATAATACGAATATGCACGGGCGTTATGAGGAAAATACTGGAACAACTCTGGCAATGGAGTTATCTAGATACAGAGTTATCCTGATTGCCTTCCGCTTTGATATGCAGGCTTTGTGGAAAGCCTCATATATATAGAGGATGAGGTCTCGTTGCGTGTTCGACAAAGATATAACCTCATTTCGATCGAATTGTACTCATCAGTGTAGAGGCTGATCAAGTTTTGGTAACTAATAATCCAGGAATCAATAGAACTCGATGGAATTTCATTATTTCCTTCTATGATCATTCATAGGTTTGAAGGTTGAAAAGAAGAACTTCCAGCATTGGGGAAGTTTCCCTCAGATGAATTTTCAATTATCGTGGCGGCAACAGGCAAATTGTGACGTATGTACATTCTGAATATAGTCTGAATTAGTGGTGCCCGCGAGAGTCTCGTTTTCGAGAGTCTCTTCATCCATCACATGAGAGATATATGGAAATTATTCATAATACTGGACGAAGTAGGATTGTAAAACTTTTATTATATCCCATTGCTTTCATGATATACCTAGTTATAATGTATTCAAAGAGTAATTTCCGGAAATATAGATATATAGATGATGCCGGCAACGTCGTACTGACACAGGGAATCGTATTTTAACTCTGTGTGAATGTGGCTTTTCATAAAGTACTTCATAGAAATGGCGAAGGAGCTAAGTTCCCTTTTAATACATTTTTTCCTGACGTGAAATTTGATCTTATGAAGAAAAGAAAAAATAGGTATATATTAAATTCTTACAAACCTCACAGTGAAAAAAAAATCTCAAACCTAAAACTTCCCCATTATTTCGAATTTTCAGAATGAGATTTCAGATTTACTTACTTATAATTTCCATTCTAGCTTCACTTTGAGCTGAAGCAAAGGATGGAGCTTCTGCTGATACCTCGCACCTGAATAGACCGCTGGTTTTCCAGGATACTGGATGAAGGACGACTTTTTTGCTGTTAGACCGCGACATCTGAAATGAAAATATCACGGTAGGACGGCAAAAACGTATGAAGCAGAAACCATAGTAAGAAAACCTTGTGACACCACGTAATCTTTCAAGACTAATATCAGTTTTCATTTGCTAAACTCAGACCATTGTCCTACCGACCATATAGGTTTGAAACTTGTTGTGTTGTTCATAATAGAATAAATGTTTTTACGTAATTGAATTCGCTCTGTCTATGGAGGTTTGTTAGAACATCCTGTATTTTTCTGATGGGAGCTTCATAATTGAGTTGATAATATGAACTAAGAAATGTGCTCATCAGTAGTACTCGGTCTTTTACACCAATTTTTTCAATGTTCGCGTTCTCGGCCGCTACTCAATAGAAATAAATCCATAGCAAATAATATTTCAAAAACAAAAATAATTCCACAAATTTTCTAAAAATTATCCTCCGATTTGCATCCCTCATGATTTCTATTATTTCTTTCGCTCCAAGAAATGAAAAAAATTAAAAAGCAGAATATCGAAATGAGCCTCATATAAACTGCTTAACAATTGAAACGTGCCGATGCATAATTTCAGTCTTATTCGAAACTGTATAACTTTCAAAGAACACAACCGATTCCAATTTAGTTCACAGTTCCTGAAAGATTCATTCCATTGGATATCAAGGAATCATGTTTGATTTCGAAAAATCCTTGTAACTGAGTTATCACAGGGTGATCAATAGAAGTGTGCCGAATTCCCTCAATTTGGATATTCTCCCCTTTGGAGGAAAAAAATTATCAACAATAATAATACTAACCAAAACTCTATCACTAAAGAGTTTTATAGAAGAAGATTCGTTATTTTTGCAAAAGTACCTGATGCATCATTAAGTTTCAATTGTTGAGCAGTTTATATAAGGTATTGCGTTCAAATTGTGTGTGAAGGTTTTTCAGCTACGCTTTTCAGCTGAAATGAAATTGGCCTGAATATTGTCACAAAAGGGTATTTTCCAATTTTTTCTCAAATATTGCTACTACTAAATTATTATTATTTCACTGTTCTAATTTACCAAGTTCATTATATTTCTAAGAAATACAACTGTCCTCGTTCGTGACAAAACATTTTAATATAAAATAAACATAGAGGTGATAGGCGAGTGGAATTTTTTTTTTTTCATTTCTTAAATAGAAACATTACCCAAATACCTTTCAATTTAATATTTTTTTAGAATTTCTCCTGTTCAGCAGAGTCAATTAGTCACATTCGTGAAAATATTTCAAAGTTCATATTTTCGAAGAGAGCTCGTTGAGTAGGTAAAATATTATGGAATTTTCGTTGAAAACACACTATCAAGTTTGGCAAATCAATGTTGATAGGTTAATTTCTCGTATGAGTATTTCACTTGAAGCAGTTACCGTCCTAGCGAAGAATGTGTTCCTAAGAATGTTGTGGCAATCTTATCGTTTGTGCAGTTTCCTACATTTATTGCGGCAAATAGCCATCTTTCATTTTCATGGAATCCTCTCGGGATAACCTCATTTATAAACGATATATCTCATTTATTCCCAAACTATCCGAACACGCGTAAAAATGAGCAATAAACGTACAACACTTCCGAAGATAATCGAAAAACATCCTTTACCGACATGTTTTATGTCCTGTGATAAACTGGACGGCCGACAGTTAAATGGGCCCCCCGAATCGAATGGGCCCCCAAACTCCTCCCGCCATCTTGGCATAATCTATATAGCCGAGAAAATGGCCGGCAACTCCGAAGAAGGTTAAGGAGTTGAAGTTTGGAGGTCAGTATAGACTCGCTTGGTTTCTAATCTTTGCGTCAGGAGAAATGGATTCTCATCTAGGAAAAAATGATCCCTTAGGTCCAGGTCCCTTGTTGCTATATACAGGGTGTGAAGAATTCTAAGGCTATAGAATATGATGATTTAGCGCAATTTGCTTCAGTTCATAAGTTGAAAGTTTTGGATTTCAGCAACAGAAATCTACGGGGGATGCTGTTTTCACATTTCTCAACAAATTATACAGTGTGTCCCACTTACCATGCTCACCATGGGTATCTTTTTAACGGTGAGAGATACGAGGTCGGTTAAATGACACCAAATGTGGAGTTTGTCAAGGCCAACTATAATGTGAAAAAATATTTTGATAAAATCTATTCGTTTTTGTTTTATACGCAAAAAACTGATTTTGATCATTTTCATGTCTATTCCGTAACTTCTTTATTTATGGAAATATTCAAATAGGAATTTCACATTCTCATGGCAGTTTTTCAAAGTGATTTCGAAAAAAATATGAAATTCATACCAACTCTTCTAGAATTTGAGATATCAGCACCAACTTTAGTTTTTCAAATGTAGGTCATAGCTCACTATGACTTAGTTACAAATAACTTTGTTTTCTCTAACAGATGATATGTCGCAGTAATAGTTTTGTGTTGATAACAATGGAGTTATCGTCATTTATACAAAAACAAAAAAATATTTGGAAGCCGCCATCTTGAATTTATAAATTTTAACAAAAAAATCATGATCTCCGACCTCAAAAACCCCCACTCACCAATTTTGAATGGAATCGGACCAAATCTTGTCCGCCATCTTGGAGCAGCCATTTTTTTAAATTGATGGCGGACAAGATTTGGTCCGATTTCATTCAAAATTGGTGAGTGGGGGTTTTTGAGGGCGGAGATCATGATTTTGCTGTTCAAATTCATAAATTCAAGATGGCGGCTTCCAAATGAATTTTGTTTTTGTATAAATGACGATAACTCCGTTGTTATCAACACAAAACTATTACTGCAACATATCATCTGTGAGAGAAAAAAAAGTTATTTGTAACTAAGTCATAGTGAGCTATGACCTACATTTGAAAAACTAAAGTTGGTGCTGATATCTCAAATTCTAGAAGAGTTGGTATAAATTCCATATTTTTTTCGAAATCACTTTGAAAAACTGCCATGAGAATGTGAAATTCCTATTTGAATATTTTCAAAAATAAAGAAGTTACGGAGTAGACATGAAAATGATCAAAATCAGTTTTTTGCGTATAAAACAAAAACGAATAGATTTTATCAAAATATTTTTTCACATTATAGTTGGCCTTGACAAACTCCACATTTGGTGTCATTTAACCGACCTCGTATCTCTCACCGTTAAAAAGATACCCATGGTGAGCATGGTAAGTAGGACACACTGTATACCGAGCTGAATCAAGAGGCAGTGAGTGCAGCAATATTCTGTGATTTGTCAAAGGCGGTGATTCATAGTGGCGTTCCTCAAGGATCGGTGCTTGGTCCAATCTTGTTTCTATTTTACCTCAATGACCTGACAAGCATGCCAACTGATGGACTATTCACAGTCTCCGCAGATGATACAACAATCTTATGGCATCATAACGACATAGAAAGCTTTAATCGAAAATAACCCAAGATAAAGCAAAAATTAACAGATGGTGTGATGCTTTCTCCCCTCTTTCGACATTAACAAAACAAACTTCATTTCATACCATTGTGCCTTACCTGATATCCTTTTAGGAAATGAATCAATGAATAGAGCAAAAAACACGATTCGTATGCCAACATATTGTGAAAAGCTATGTCAATCCTTCGATTCCTCTGCTAACAAATATAACAAGTGAGGTTGTGTTTCAATATTTTACAGAAAAGTGAGGTTGTGTTTCAATAGTTTAATTCCAGAGTCGGTCATCGTGCACCGGACCTATACTTAGCCGTGTTTCAAAAAGTCTGGTAACTTTCATTTTTGTCTCGTACCTTCTTGGTGAAGGCCAGAAGTGCAGTTTTACTAGGGTTGTAGGAGGAAGAGCTAAAAGTGACCCTTTTTGTGGCATGTTTGCAACTGACGGACGGACGAAACGTTTCACTTTGTATTTTCGAAAAGTTTCAGTATCTTTGACAGGAAAATATCGAGAAACAATGAAAACCCCTCATCGATATCGGTCCAAAAGGGTTCTGAATTATTCAAAGTTTAGAAAGGTTGTTCGTAGTCGAATTGCGATTCTGGTAAATATTTACAATGGCCGACAACAAAAACGTTTCTGGCAGTTCGGACGATTGTTCCGTGTAACTTACAATTTCCAATTCGGTTCACCGATCGTCGATTGTTTGACGCTTTCCAAAGGCACCTCTGATGCATTAACGAAATCGATATATACGTCTGAAATTTCATTGGGTCGTGTCACACAAAATTGGTAGAAATACCATGAGTTTCATCAAGATGAAGAGATGCACAGAGCATTTCTTAAATTTCCTATTCCCGTTAGTACAGTCATCACAAATTCCGAATCCGAACTGATTTTGAACCCATATTTTGACTCCTGATATCATTTTCTGGAAATTGGGGTGGTTCCATAGCTGTTGTCGAGCAGTGTATATCACTGAAGATGACCCCACTTGGTCATAGTATATCTCTCGCTCCAGCAAATTTGAGGATCTTTACCTAACGATTACGTGAGATACAAGGGTGTGTCCATTAGAAGTGGGTCACACTGTATATCTTTTGATGTCATATTTATTCAGAAATATTCTTGAAAATCAACAGTTAATAACTATTTTTCTACTCACATAACTAAAATGGCATTTAGCGTACGGATATGTACCACGCTAAATGATCGATTAATCACGGATTGTCGATCTGTGATTTATTCGAAACTGTCAACTGTTATTTTCAAATTCTGTATCGGAATTATTTAAACAATATTCGTTTGTATCAGAATTATTCATTAAAAATATATGCGAAAAGTAGACGAAAGTGATATCGAAGAGAATGTTCTGGTACTTGCATATCTCCAAGAAGTGTAAAAATGAAGCATCCATCTTTGAGAACAATTCATTCTGCGCTAAGCATGACAATAAACGTGAAACAAAGGTTAGTAAGCAATGGACTGGACACATCTACAACCAATATCACTTATACGTGTCTCGCTGATTGCATGCAGTTGCATGTATTATGTTATCAATTCCCATTCCATTCGAATTATTTTGTAGGTTAGCAGGAATTCCAGGTGTGTTAATGTAATTTTCGGAGTTCGTAGAAAAATCATAGTATGTAACGCGTTTATAAACTCTTCTAGACACTCGTTTATTAAACACTCGCTCCGCTCTGCTCCGCTCGTGCTTAAAATACTCGTTACTAAAAGGACGTTTATAACACTTGTTACATAATATACTATTATTGTGCATAATCAGCAGAATCAACACTGATATACGGAAGATATCAAATCTTCACCTTCTGGTGAATAGTTGATGGTGTCATTTGAAGTCGTAAGCAGAGACCAGGAGTAGTGTTAATTTTGATATTGACTAGTAGTGAAGAAAAACGTTTCTTCACCTCATCCATAACGGTGTGATCTGGAGCTAGGAGAAAAGTATGCTATTTAGAAAATTCTCGGAAGTTCTTCGTGATTTCCCAGTAACACTACCTTCAAAATGCTCAAATCATGGTACAAAATTATATGATGTGTGATATTCATCGCCCACCTGTTGAATCATGTCGAAGCTCAAGTGAAACAGATGAAAAGCGTTCTGAAAATTCCTGCGAGAGGCACTATAGTAAGAATGATCAAAATCGATATCGCCCACTCGTTTTTCGTATATATGAAACTCCCAAATGGGAGTCTTCTAAAGTTAACTGTTCATTCGGAATTTCAATTCGGTAATATTCGAGAACAGTTTTATATCTGCTTGCGTTTATTGTCGATAAAAAATAAGTTTATTTGCCGAAAGGTGGAAATATACGTTTCGAAACGATCATAATAAGAGCTGAAGTCGGATCCGTTGTTGGAAATTGCTCTTCTCCAGAAATGTTGTTGATTTTATCGATTCTATTCGGAATGCTCCATCGTTTGTATAAAAAAATGTCTCATTCTCATATACTTGATATTTCTCAAAAAAAATCACCGCGAGCTGAGTGAAGGCCATTGTTTATCCGATTTAAATATAAACTGATGGTAGTGATGGTGCAATTGTCAATCAAAACATAAAAATTTTATTGTTCTTTAAATGTGATATTCATTCCTTTAAATGATGTTTCAGTCAACGAAATGGATGATAGGACACAAAAAAACGAAAGAATACATTTTTGCCAAAAAAAACTAATTTGGAAGATATTGAGCATCAAAGTTTGCCTGAAAATTTTGTAAATCTTTGATCAGAGGTTGATATATAGCCCAACTCAGCATTTGCATTCGGCGAGATAACAAGCACCGTAATGGCTTTTGCAATGTTGCCGGACGTTCAATAACAGTCGAACGATGTAGTTATGGTAGGAGCACACATTTTTTTTTCATTTCAATACAATTTCCTCTTGTTATCTATTGTGTTATTATATGTCCCATTAAACACCCCATTTTATTCGAGCAACCAGCTTGTCCAAATATTTTTTATCCTCCATAACAAAATATCATGTGAATATTGGAGACTTCGTAACATTGTCACAGATATGTCACAGAACATCGGGAGAACCAAGGAAAATAAGGTAGGAATTGGTGTTCTTCTTAAATTTCTGGAGGTTATATTCCTCGGGCAACACCTCCCTTGGCAATGTGTTCCAGATCCTCGTTGGATGAACGAGTCTTCGGAAAGAGATATTCTGCAGGTCTCCAAAGTGACCACGATGGGGTGCGAAGCCTCAACTCGACGGGTTAATCTCGCGGGGACTGCCAAAGGAGGAACAATTGTTGATAGTTCGGAAGAGCATCGTCCATGAATATATCTATAAAATATGGCCAGATCGCCAACATTTCTACGGTGTTCCAGAGAAGTGAGTAAATTTGTGAGCGAGGCATCACCCACGAGACGAATTGCCCTTTTTTTGACAGAATCCAACAGTTTCAGGGTATGTTTGGGTGCTGCACTCCAAATATGGGAACAGTATTTCAGGACAGGTTGAATCTGTGCCTTATAGCTCCTCGCCTGAAATAAAAAACCAAGTTTTTGGGGTGCACTTTTAGCAATTGATCTCACGTGATTTTCCCAAGAAAGGTTATTGCTGATAGTAATACCAAGCATCAAAATGGATGTCTTCAAAGGTATGGTTACTCCTGACAAGCTTATGTTGGCCACAGTAAGATCGGCTTTTCTAGAAAAAAGACATGTTTGTGTTTTGTTTGCATTGAAATCTACCAAGTTATTGGATCCCCATTCGAGAATTGTTGCCAAGTCCATATTTATGTTGTCAACATTTCTCCCTCGTTCGTTTCTGATTTGCCTGGCTGGTATTGAAGCCCTGGAAGAGAAGGTGGTATGGAGAGTACTATCATCCGCGAAGCTGTGTACTTGACATTAAGTTGCTTTCAATAAATCGTTGATATGGAGTAGAAATCATGTTGGTGCTAGAATTGATCCTTGCGGAACACCTGCATTTATGATAAGAGAGTCAGATGAAACTCCGTCGATCACTAGATGGAGAAACCTGTTTGAGAGAAAACTAGCAGGGAACATAGCTGGGAGGCAATCCATAAGATGGTAGCTTGGCGAGGAGTCCGTGGTGCCAGACTAGATCGAATGCCTTGGAGATATCAAGTGCCACGGCTAAAGTTCCACCATATTTCTCAATAGATTGCTGCCATATATGTGAGACGTAAGCGAGCTGGTCAACAGTTGATCTCTGATGACGGAAGCCATATTGCCTATCGTTGATAATACCTGAATGTTCCAGGTGTTCCTCGATGTTGTTAGCCCTCACCATGATCTTTAAAATAATAGATAGCAGTGCGATCGGTCTGTTGTTTGCTAGGTAGGATCTTTTTGTTTTTACTGGCGGTAAATTTCTAGCCGTTTGAAAATTACCGTGGCATTATTGATGGTTTTAGCACCTAAAAATCGACCGAAAAAATGGAAATTGAAAGGTATTTGAGTGATTATTCTATTCAAGAAATAAGAAAATAATGTCCATTCGCCTGAGGGTGACACAATCAAGTGGAACACAATGTACAGGCTGGCCAACTAAGACTCCAGAGTTCGATTTCTCTGTTGTCTTGAGAGATACAAAAAAAAGTCAGGTATCAAAATTGAAGTAATAACCGAGCTGCATCTTTCAAAATTATTTTGGAATATACTAGGTGTTCCATGAGGTAACAGCTTTGATGTGCTGTGACTTTACGGGACACCCTGTGTATTTCAAAGAAAATTTGAAATGTGAAATTCGGTTATCACTTTAATTTGAATGCGAAACTTTTTTTTTGTATCTCTCAAGACGACAGAGGTATCGAACTCTGGATTCTTAGTTGGCCACCCTGTACATAGGGTGTACCATATTGGATTCGAGAGCATATCGTATATACTTACGTCCACGTGTACTCCATCGACTTCGTACCAGTTCGCCTGCGGCCTGGCTCTGGGCACGAACCTGTAGAATTCCTCGTGCTCCTTGTACCATTTGACGGCATACAGGGTGAAATTGCCCAGGTCGTAGTCGCATTGCAACGTTGCCGACTCGCCGGGCTCTCGGTACTGGGGAACGCTCACTTTCACCCATCTCAAGCCGGTACTGGCAGATAAACCTAGAAAAAAAATACATACCAGAGTACTTAAACATGTGAAAATAGGTTTTTTTTCTGTGACGGGAAAAAAGTTTGGCATTTCATCTTTGTTGGCAGGTTATAAAATGTCACTTTTCATAAATTACTTTTTTCCCGTGGGAAAAAAGTGAGTACTTTTTTCCCGGATATATATCACATCTATATACTCTGTTAATGGCTTTTGTTGTGCTATAGTTCCGAAAAATGAGTCAATAATACCGTCTCAGAGAAAGAACTGCAAGTCCTTTTATCTTCCATTCGACTTCGCGGTTTCGTATATTACTAAACAACTACTGAATTCGCAATTTTTTAAAATCAAATCACAGAATTGAACTGACAGAAGTGACATCAGATATTTGATTACTTCAAAAGAATGATAAAGATGCCTATAAAACGCAGGTGTCCCTACTGTTAAAAACTTGAAATTTCACGTCGATAATTTTCAGATTTCGAAATAATGTAATATCTTCTCAATATTGATTCGTCCTTCTTTCTGTCACAGAAAAAAATAGTGTATTATACACGGGAAAAATATTAGATTTTAGCTCACGGTTTTTTGTCTCCCTCCGCTACGCGTCGGGAGACAACACAACCTGGAGCTAAAATCTACTACTTTTTTCCCTTGTATAATAAATAACTATTTAAATGTATGAAAAATTGACATTCATCATACAGGACGTTGAAAGAAATTCTGTCGGTAAGTTATATTTCTATATCATAATACATCATATTATTTTATTCGATTCGAGAGATTTTCAGAGGCTTTTGATCTTTCATGCTCTCTCTTGAGCCGGGATTGGCGCAGTGGAAGAGCGTCCGTCTCACGACCGCAAGGTCGTGGGTTCGATTTCCAGCACGGGCAAGGAACTTTTTTCAATATTTTATTTACGAATTAAATATTGTAAAGTTTCGGAGCATCGGCTGGGGATAGTCCTGCACGATTCGCTGTTGCGTTCCAATTAACAGTGCTGCTCCAAAAGTGGCGCATGGAGTTAGTAACAAAGCCTACACAGAACACGCAGAAAGATATGATGATGTGGTTGTGAGCATCAGAGAAGAAGTAGGACGGTGTATGTAGGTGGGTGTAGAAAACTACCAGCTGCCCGTGAGAGCGGGCCAGCTGCTTAAGTAGACCTCGGTCTCGGGGGTTAACGATGGTAGTTAGCAGGCCTGCCACTGCGCATATGGTAGTGAGTACATTACTAGCCTACAAAACACAGCTGAAAAACTCTGAAAAGAGAGCTGAGGGGCGGTGCCTGAAAAGGATGTTAGCCAGCTCTCTTGAGCGAACCACATCAGTCATTGAAAACACTTGGGGTTGGCAAAAAGGTCCCATTGGGGACTAGTTGCTGACGTGGAAACGTCCCCCACCAGTACCAGTACCAGTTCATGCTCTCTTTTTGGATATAATTCAATGTTCGACGTGGCAAATAGCCAGGAAAGTAATTGTTTTCTGTTGAATGAACCGTGAAAGAATTGATATTTTCATCACATGGAGAATGCGAATTCTCAATGTATTTCTTTATATATATATCCATTTTTTGTGTTCATAAATATATCTGAGAATGTTCCTTTCCAATGTGAAAATAATTGAAAAATCAGTGAACCCCCATATTGATGAATATAACAACCACCAACATTCTTTTGATATCAATCACGACCTGGAAATTTTACATATTTTGCCAGAAAGGTGCTCTTCTCAACCTATTTGAAATTTTCGAAATTAACGCGTCCTTGAATGATTCTAATGTTATCTCACTCAATGAGCAAACTCATTTTGATTGCCAAGAATTCTTCACCAAAGAAGGGAAGTGTTGTATTTCGTGCAAGAAAATTTATTCAAATTTATATCCGACTGTTAAGTCATCATCAGTGCATACTCGTCAGGGTAACAAGGAAATTTGTCCATCAAAATATCTCTGGTTTTTATGGACAAATTTCCTTTTTAACCTGACGAGTAATATGCACTGATGATAAACTACGAATATAAATTTGAATAAATTATCTTGCACGGAATACAACACTTCCCTTCCTTGGTATATATACACGTGCACACAGCCCAGCAACCCTCACTCAAGAATTTTTCAATTCGCTGGTTTTTCATTATTCAACTTCACTATACTCAATGTAGTTATATAATTTTCATGTTTCAGTTTTGAAATATTTTTCCTGCTTTGGTCTCTACTAGCCTTTATGTTCATTCAAATTTATGTACCTAGGTATCTTCTCATTGTTTTTGGGCGAGTAGTGCTTCTGGTCGTCCACTATTCTTTATCTACGGACAGTTGACATTGTCACTGTCATATGTGTCTTGTCATCACAGAACTTGCGTTTTGTGGATTGCTAAGAACGCCACTTGTCCTCTATCATCTGATGATGTAGGTTTGTTTTGAGTCATTTTTGACTCCACCGTTAATCGGTTTTTTCTAATAATGGGTTTTGCCATTATATCTTGATAATGTACGTCCTCATAGGGGGAAGACCACTGAGAGAAGAAATCCGTCCAAACCTCTTTCAATCGACGAATCATGAATAACGTTTGATGTACAATCAATATTATGAGTTAAAGTTGAAGGGAATCGAATCTATATCGTTTTGAAATCAGCATATTCCATTCGATATTTCAAACAGCCAAATATGATGATGGAGTCGTGACGTATTAGTCCCAAACTGTAGCTATCTCTCTCTGATACATCGTCATTCTGCAGTGTTGCAGCGTGATTGGTCATTTCAAGGACAATAGGCGTGTTGGGAATAAGACGTCGCACCAGTCACACCAAGGAATTGACAAAATTTCAAATGGCGCAGGAATTGTGTGTTTTGGAATGGACATATTCTGATTTATTTTTTCCATCGTCTTAGCAGAATGATAGAATTCAAAATTAATTCGCTGGTAGTTTGTCAGTATGGAGTTCACGATAATGTCATTTTAAAAAGTCAGTGGTCTCCCCCAATTTTTTATTCGAAGTTTTTTCATAATGTGTTTTTTTTTATTTATATAGTAGGTTGTTCTGGGACACCTTGTATTATTATCATTAAGGCGGGGGCAGGCGGGGGGGGGGGGGGGGGAATTGCTTCCTACAAAAAATGTTATACACTTAGACTGTTTTTGTTATCACATAATATACATCATCAGTATTGTATCAGTACTTGAAATTGAAAAAAGATATTTTTTCGAAATTCTTGAAACATCATTCAGTATATTAATAGTAGGTATGATTCATAGAATATTCCAGAATATGGAAGCGAATTTTCCTGAAATGTTAAAATTACTATAGACTGATGATTAGCTTTTTTGCTGTTATGAGTGATCGTTGTTGATTCGGATACGATGAAAAAATTGAAGTGAATTGAAGAAAAGAGTCAGTATCATCCACCTGCTCGGGTAACCTACAGACAGTTTCCAAAATACTTGTTTCTTACTTTTCCTATTATTCCTATTTTCAGATCATTTTATATCAATTGCAAGCAAACTGAGAACATGTAACTGAATAACAAGCTGATTAATTTATGATATAATAATGTGATGGAGTTGTTGTCAGTCTGAAAGGAATTTTATTTTCAATTTTATGGCATTTGACCTCTTATCATGAATCTTATCTGTTTGTTCTTTGAACCCCTTCCTGGTAAACACTGAAATGGAGTTGGTCACTTTGAAAGAAATCTAATTCTCAATTACAAGGCTTTTGACCTTGAACCCCAAAAAATTTCGCTTGCGGCACATTTTTCCATTGCAAAAATATTGTCTGAGTTTCTTGACCTCCCCTGGTAATCATTGAAATGACGTACCTGATCTTCACGTTTACATTTGCATCAAAATCTGTAGACTGCCACTGGGAAACCGTCGTAAATAAACTGAAATCTCATTATACCTACAAGAGAACTGAGAAGTGCTCCCCATTCGTCTAATTACCTTTCAGGCAAACTTTATCCAGAAAATCCTCAACTATCCCGAAATACACATAACCCATTCAAACTTCCGACATTTTCCCGTCCTACAACAATTAACCGTTTTCCTTTACATTACGTCCTGTTTATTTCCTTACAAATTTCCCTTAATGCTTCGTTCTTAATGTCAGCCATTACAAAATGCTTAATTTTAATGTGGCACTGGCAACTAAGACGAAATATCACCAGATCGTGCGCCATTCCCGATTTTACTTATCGCTGGGGGTAATGAGGTGAGAGAAATGTCTTTTTCTTAATGGAGTTGTTAACATTTGACAGGCCTCCGGATGGGTATAGCTATATGTACGATGAGGCTCCCGTGGGGACAGCCCTAATGATTTGTTCTTGTTCTGGCAAAGTTTCCGAAATGTGTCTGTGGATAATAAGGGTTGAAACTGGGCCAACTAAGTGTATCCTCTGGAGCCAGACGTAAACCTCTAACCTCGATCATTGCTGACGTCACACCGCACTATACAGACACACAGCACAGGGCTACCAACCTATTTATATAAACTACTCAACACTAATTTCGTCGCACACCAAAATGTCGCCCCTGTTATAATGTGAATAACTTTTTTCAGTTTAGAACAATTTGAATTTGGTTCACACTGTTCGATAGCCCAGTCCTTCAGCTATAATCTGGTACTTCATTGAAACATAAGGGTATTCACATAAAATCTCTACATGGTGTTTTCCGACACTGTGCAAAATTTCGGAATATTCAAACGGCTCTCAAATGGTGAAAACATTTTTTTTTCTCAACTTCGACAACAGAGGCATGAAGATGATCTCATTACCTCGAGATATTTCGCGAATCAACTTCCTATCTCTCTTATTCACAGAGTGGTCTCAAAAAATCGACTTTTTGGTATTGCAGCCATAACTTTTTTCCACGTCAACCGATTTTGGAAATCTTAGGCTCATTTTGAAGATAAAACTTCAGATGAAGAGATCTGAGTATCAGAATTGACTCAAGATGGCTATCAAAGATCTAGAGTTTTCTTGAAAGTGACCCAAATCTGGAACGCCCTCCGAATCTCGGTTGGGAGGAGAAGTGAAAGAAAATCAACTAGTTCTCGGAAAAACAATGCATTCTGCATGCGTCCATATCTTCCTCGCTCTCAGTACTCAAGAATGTGCGTGAGAAAACACAATTGAAACATGTTCTTGCAAAAACATCAGACCATTTCTCCTCAGTAATGCATGGCCCGTAACCAACGTTACAAGAATCACAGTAAGTGACTGACAAGTCAGGTTAGACGTCGTTTTCGAATCATAAACAGATTTTGATAGTTTCGATGCAGCATCTAACGCCCGACCAGTTGGAACTGATTCCACAAGGGTTATCTTCCCTCCAAATCGCGGATCTGCTAAACACGACAGTCCGATCCATTCAAAGGGCTTATCTCCGACACGAATTGTTTGGTTATTACTGTCGATTCGTTTGGCGCATTATTGCGACTGAAAACTTTACGTAATTGGCAAACTGTTTTCGTGAAACTTTCACCATTTTTGAAATGCGTTTTTACAATACTTGAATACTTCTCCATATTCTTAAATCGCATGGTATGTACGTGACAACTGGTAAAAAAATCACTTCATTGAAAAAATCAAAATCCGTTGCTCTTGTTGGTACACCTTTCATGATGAGCCTCAGCTGGTCGGGTTTGTCAGTCACTCATTGTGATTCTTGTAACGTTGGTTACGGCGGGCCATGCATTACAGAGGAGAAATGATCTAATGTTTTTGCAAGAACATGATGTTCCAATTGTGTTTTCTCACGCACAATTCTTGACTTCTGAGAGCGAGGAAAATATGGACGCATCCAGAATGAATTGTTTTTCCGAGAACAAGTTGATTTTCATTCAATTCTCCTCCCAACCAAGATTCGAAGGGCGTTCCAGATTTGGGTCACTTTCAAGAAAACTCTAGATCTTTGATAGCCATCTTGAGTCAATTCTGATATTCAGATCTCTTCATCTGAAGTTTTATCTTCAAAATGAGCCTTAGATTTCCAAAATCGGTTGACGTGGAAAAAAGTTATGGCTACAAAACCAAAAAGTTGATTTTTTGAGATCACTCTGTGAATAACAGAGATGGGAAGTTGATTCGCGAAATATCTCGAGATAATGAGATCATCTTCATCATCATGCCTCTGTTGTCGAAGATGGGAAAAAAATTGTTTTCATCATTTGAGAGCCTTTTGAATATTCCGAAATTTCGCACAGTGTCGGAAAACACCATGTAGAGATTTTATGTGAATACCCTTATGTTTCAATGAAATACGAGATTATAGCTGAAGGACTGGGCTATCGAACAGTGTGAACCAAATTCAAATTGTTCTAAACTGAAAAAAGTTATTCACATCATAACAGGGGCGACATTTTGTTGTGCGACGAAATTAGTGTTGAGTAGTTTATTATACAGGGTGTTTTTGGAGGTGAAGCATCTTTTTATATAGGATGTTTCGAAATTCGACCGACAACGCTTGACAGGTGATACCCCTTGTTGTATATTCAGATTTCGGGTCGATTCTGTTTGCAAATAGCAATATGGTTGTAGAGAAGATATTGCTATCATAGCAAGATTCGAAAAAGTGGATTTCTTATCATCGATTTTTGGCAATATGATCTGTCAATTTCAATGACATCTGGTCAGCTTTCTTGCTATCTCGGCAACATCAATTTTGTGCTTGCTATCTTATAACAAGGTGATGGATTCTTTGTTTTTGCACTACAAATTCTTCCAACTGTATAAAAATTCAGAAAATAGTGGATTAAAAACATATGAGAGTTCAGTTGTGTCACTGACTACTCGAAAACCTTTCCTCAAAGTTTCAATTCGTAGAAGAATTATTGAAAAACTTAGAATGGTGATTTATTAAGCTATTTTGCTAGAAATTAAAAAAAAAATCACGATTATTTTCATCCGGCTTTTGGTTGTTTTCTCATTTCGAGAACATGATTGATTACTTGCACCAGTCGCACAATGACGACCAGATTCAGCAAATACAAAATCTCTCGATTTGAACAATATAATTTTGTAAAATGTCAGTGCAGGACTGACTAATTTGAGAGGTTAGATAATCATGAACTCTTCTTCTTCATGAGATAATGGCAAAATCGATACCTAACACTTAAACAATAAGTTGAAAACAGTGTTGTCAGCTCAAAAATTCTCAATTTTTCAACAATATTGCTATCACTTGAACTTATAACCAGTCTTGCAGTTACTCTGCAAACAGAATACAGAACTTCATAGTTCATAGCAATATTGTTATATATGTTAGGATCATAACGATATTATTATCTTAGCAATGTTATAACAAGATCCGAACAGAATCGACCCGATTTGTAGTTGCCAACATTGCTATATATCATCATTATTATGTTGGTCATACTGGAAAATAAGACTAAGACAATTGAATTTCGAAATCAATCAGTTACTTATTCATTGAATTGTTCAAATTGATGTCCACTTTCCCTCACACGCTTTCTCAATACGTCTTAATGCTCCGAACAACGAAGTCTGTTTTATGATCGAAGTCTTAATGCATTCAAAATCATTAAAGGATGTCTTTGTAATTCCTGGAAAACTGTCTCTGTTGTTGCACGAAGGTCCAAGATATTTGTGACTTAATGTATCAAGACGTATTGAGAAACTGTGTCAATTGTGTGTTATGGGAAATGGACATCAATTTGAACAATTCAGTGAATAAGTTATTGAATAATTCCGAAATTCAATTGTATTCGTAAATATTTAATCTGGTGCTTATTCTACATTATGAACTTATTATTACTATTGATTTGTTGCTATCAGGTACATAATTTTTGTGTTTTATTAGTTAATTAGTGTTGGTATTGTTTTTGTCCTCTTTATGGAAAAATCGAAATGAATATTCCTTCAATTGGAACTTTTTTATAAGAAAAATCCATAGCCATCTATTAAAATTCAATGTTTCAGTGATTTCAGAGCATTTTTGAAAATTTCATATACATACATTATAAATCATTTTGAAGAGAAAAAAATGAGGAATTTTATGAGCTTATAAAATTCAGGGTGTTCCATTTAAAAAATCATAAGTTTGAGTCGTATCTCCAAAACCATACCCCGAAAAAAAAATTTGAGTGCACCACTGGATTTTGCGTAAACTTTCATATGGGATGAGATTCAAATTTTACATTTTTGCTGAGAAACTTCGCAGATATAGAGGGGGTCCAAAAAGTATAAATTTTCAAAATCGCCCTGTATCTCATAAACGGAAACAGTTATGCAAAATCTGATTGGGCCATCTTGAGTTTCACAAAAAAGTGGCACACGACCGCGAAACCCGCAAGGTTTTATCTCGAAAGATAACTGAGATATCACACAAAAGCATCGAAAACTGGACACACTGTACATTCGAATATGAAACACCCTGTATATATTATATGAGCAACTTACCCCACATCAGGCCAGTGAGCAAATGGATGCAGATGAGCTGCAAAGAGACCACTATCATCGTTCACATTTAGGCTTCCGAAAACAAACCCATCAAAACCAATCACATTATTTCCAGCACTATTTTCCAGCTTTCTCCTACAGTGTGCCTAAATTCATGGCCATTTTGTTTGCGATGATTCGTCCAGAAATTGAGAGTGAGAGAAACAGTCGTTGTTCTTTTTTGAAATATATTGGAGTTTCGTCTACTTTCAAAGTATAAAGAGTAATTATTATTATCTCTTGTGCGGCGTATTAGTTTTTTTTTTAGATCAAAGAGGCTCCATGCTGAAGGAAATCAATCTTTTGTGACAGAACATCGCAGTGGGTATATAGCCTGTAACAAAAAAAAAATGATTCGATGAGCTCCAGTTTACTTTATCTTTGTGAGGGCTTATATAGGCTTCTTACACAGTGGAAAATTTCATTTTAGTTATCTCAGCTTTGTGAATTCTCTCTTTTGTTGTCAAATTTCACAAAGATGTTCATTTTTCTGAAACAATTTTCTCCTGATTCGATGAGCTTGAGTAATGATAATTGAGGACGTGGATATTAATTTCGCCAGATTTTCGGGATTTTTTCATCTCGGTTTTGTGAATATAATAATGTTAGTAATATTTCCAAATACCAAAATATATTATACAGGGTGTTTCATAATTGAATGCTGATCCTAAGGGGCGATGATCCTTCTATGATTTTAAGGAGAGAAGTTCATATCAACATATGTCCTGAACCTCTTAGTTTTTGAGCTACAGGGTGTTGAAATCAGAAGCGTACAGCGTTTTTTTAAACCAAACATTCAATATCAGGTCTACGAGGACATCACTGGTTAAAGTAAAAGTTTGATTTTCGTCCCAAAACAAAATGTGTTTCCATTTATAGTGGGTGTCTACTGAATTACCAAAAACAATATCCAAGAACTGAACGAACAAAATTCTCTGGTTTTTATTTTTTTACGCGAAAACGGTACGTTGTATGAAAGGTAATCTATAGGAACCAAATTTGCTCCGGAATTAATAAGAATTGAGAAAAAAATCTAGTTCTCAGAAAAATCAGTGGCGTACAATTTTTTTCTTCAAAAATTGTCAGTTCAAACCCCGTACGGACGCCACTGGTGAGAATTTTCAAATATCTTTCACGTGAAAAAATGCTCGTTAATAATGAAAAGGTGTATACAAAATATCATAACAATATCTGAGAGTGATAAAAAATTATGATGAAAAACTCATTTTTTTCTTGAAATTTCATCACCCTGTAGCTCAATAACTAAGAGGTTTAGTACATATGTTGATATAAACTTTTCTCTTTGAAATCATCCAAGGATTATCGCCCTCAAGGATCAGCATTCAATTATGAAACACCCTGTATACTGCATTGAAAATTTCGCATTATTGGAGAACTTGAAGAGAAATTCAATTGATGGTCATCAGTGTTCGAAAAAGAGCTGATATTCAACGAATTCAAGTTGAAGATCCTTCACATTTTTTTTTCATGTTCTGGTTTCCACGAAGAGGGATATCCTGTAATGTTCAGAGAACATCGTGATAACCCAGGGAAATAGAGTAGGATTTGCTTTTCTTCTTGAATTTCTGGAGGTTATATGTCTCGGGGAACATCTTCCTTGGCAAGGTGTTCCAGAGCCTCGCTGTTCGTTGGATAAACGGGTCTTTGGAAAGAGATGTTCTGCAGGTCTCCAAAGTGATCACGAAGGGGTGCGAAGCCTCAACTCGACGGGTTAATCTCGCGGGGACTGCCAAGGGAGGAACAATTGTTGATATTTCAGACGTCCATGAGAATATCTATAAAATAGAGCCAGATCGACAACTTTTCTACGGTGTTCCAGAGAAGTGAGTGAGTTTGTGAACGAGGCATCACCCACGAGACGAATTGCCCTTTGTTGGACAGAATCCAACAGTTTCAGGGTATGTCTGGGTGTTGCACTCCAAATATGGGAACAGTAGTCCAGGACAGGTCGGATCTGTGCCTTATATATCATGAGCAGCTGACTGGAAGTGAAATAGCTCCTGGCCCGAAACAGAAAATCAAGTTTTTGGGATGCACTTTTAGCAATTGATCGCACGTGATTTTCCCAAGAAAGGTGTTTGCTGATAGTAATACCAAGCATCGAAATGGATGTCTTCAAAGGTATGATTAGTCCTTACATTTTAGTTAATCGGAATCGGATCATGCGGGTTAGGGCGTTTTTTGCCTCCACCTTGTAGATGTTTTCAGCAGTTTATATAATTTGCCTTGTGGATATATTCATGATTATGGTAACTATATTTTATTGAAATATGAATTTACAAATTCATGCTGGCATGACAGGCTCGCAAAATTATGGAAAATTTAATTTGAATAAATATTATGATATCTGATGATCTCAATAGCTAGGAAAATTGGTAGGGCTGAAATTCGAATAGGAAATTACTCTATTCAGGTTGTCGATATCACTGTAGATATAAATGTTATGAATTATTGACAGGTTCATGAAATTCTGTTCGAAGTACCTACAATACATATTCAATCAATAATCATTTTGTTTCCAGATAAACGCAGTATATCTATTTTATGATTTTATGAATATCGATGAATAAATATTGTCTATATTCCATACAAAAACGAATCATTGGCTTTCAAAGGTATCTAAAACTGACACAGCCGCTTTGGCACGATATAATGAAAAATCTTCTAGTATTTATCAACTTTTTTCAACACCAACCCGAATCTTCTAACTTAAGCTAGAATAGCACAACCGTTTCACAACTTTCCACCCAAATAATTTATGGAGATTTCAAACGCCAAATTGTGACTTCAGATTATACAGAGTGTATCTAAATAACACCGAAAAAATATTATATTTAAGGAAATGAAGTTCATATATGTGTCCTAACTTCGTTTTCGAGATACAGAGTATTAATATTTCCATGAAAAATTGTTTTTTTACTTATTATTCAGTTGTCTTTTCATCAATTTCAATGAAACGTTGTAGTATTGTTAATAGTAATATGAGGCTTCTTCTGGTGCAATTAGATTCGGAATAATATTTCCAGTGGCGTCACAGTGGGTAAATACAGGGGGGTTATAAATGAAAACAATCAATACTTCCAACTTCAACATCCTGTATCTCAAAAACGGCGCAAGTTAGGACACATCTTTATATAAACTTTATTTGCTAAAATATCACAAGGTATCACTCCTTGAATTTTTTCGGTGTTATTTAGATACACCCTGTATAATTATTTTTCAAATATGCAGTTGTGATGGAAAATTTTCGAAAGCTCTCAACCTTTTTGAGTAATGCAACACAACATTCTTTTTGTGATTTTAAGTAAGTACCACGTATTTAAATTATAATTCACATGCTAACATTTTTTATATCTTTTCGAGTTTTTTTTTTGTTTCATTTTATGTGGTGTTTTTGCATTTTAAGTCTGTTTTGATGTATACCATCCCAAATAATAATATATACCACCAGTCTGTGGCGTCAGTGGTGTACCTTGGGGGGAAGATATACTTTTTTCACACATTATCATTTATAATTATTCGTATCTACAATAATTTTGAGGATTTGATTTCCAAATATTTATTCAAATAATGTTCTTGTCACATTTCGATTCCGGCTTTGGATAACAATTTTAGGAGTATCAGCTAAGTAGTATTATCAGTAGATATACAAGGTGTCCCATAATTGCTAGGAAATATCTGATGTAATATTCTCAGCTAGAATACTCTGTATTACTATTTATGTTATTGTCATTGTCAAGTTGATAAAAGTCGATTAAAGCCTTATCATTTAAGAAAGATTTTTTTTTCTTCGGAACTATGTGGAATACGAAATGCTTACAAGACTTACAAAATGAAGATGATTGATCACTCTTCTGAACCGTTTCGACTGATAATGAATGGTTTCGACATAAAAAAATCCTGAAGTTGGAGAATCCCGATTTTTAACACCCTATATCTCTGTAGATGATCATTGCTCCTAGACCTCAAGTGTGATGTATTTATGAAATCAGCTTTTCAGGGAGAATATAAATATGCAATCAAATACAGGGTGTTTTTTTTTCAAATAAAAATTGCTGCTACTTTGAAGTAGAAGAGACAATGCCGCATCGTTTGAAATATCAAATTTCCAGATTCATTTCTGCTTGGTTTGCCATCAGAAACGTTTAATCAACTCTCATCGTGAAAAACCGTGGTATACTATACCATGTGTACAAAGAGTCGCTTGAGCGAATTCCATGAAAAAATCCGAGACCCACCTGTCCTTCAATCCGAAATATTCACAAATAGCTTTTCTTCTCGAAATATAAAATGCACTCGATTTTTTCGAAGTTTATATACGAGAGTTATCCGCCGCGAACTCCCAAAACTCTACTCAACACGCATGAAGTTGTCTACCGCCGCTGTTCGACCGGCAAACTGCCGCAATACATGGAAGTTGTCTCTCGACAACTCAGAAACTCCAAGAGAACTCCGTGTGGATGTGAAAGTGCGCAGGGTCCATAGAAACACCAAATAATTTATTAAATCCAGCGAAAACATTTGAATCCGAATCTGTCATCGGTCTTGAAAATAAGCATTCCTGACAAGACGTGGGTTCTGTTTTTCTACACACATAAACAGTAGAAAACCGCTTCGAGTTGAATTCGTAGAGTTTGTTTATAAAGTTAAAATACTCTGACAAACTCACTCTAATACTGCAATCAACTCTATTACGACACTTCTCGCAGATTATCTCCTTTGAAACTAATTCTAGATTGAATTTCCACTATTCTCGTATTGAATTCACTCTATATTCCAGAAATTTCAATAAAATAATAATTCAGATAACTCAATTCACAAACAATTGAAAATGAACTATTGTTAACTGACATTAGTGAACTTGAATGTCTATAAATTGACACTCTTATCATTGATCAATTCAATCTTTATACGATGAAATATCAATCTATACAGTTTCAGATAATTTAGTCTATACTGGATGGTGAAACGACTCTGCTTTTGACTGACTTTTACCATTTTCAATAATATTGACAAATAACTCTCCCAAATTAAACAACTATACATGGTGATAACTATACACAGAATATACAGAGTATAACTGAATATTCTCCAACAAGATATGTTAACTAATCTAATATGTGATTCGAGGTATTTTTCCAAAATCAAACGATCAGAATAAATGTTAATTTGAACAATGCAGGTGCAATTCAACATTCAGGTAGTGAATATCTACTCTCTACTATTATATTCCAACTGTCAACTTTTGTGAATGTAATACTCGGTTGACACTATAGCTTGGGTCTTGAGTGGAATGTTTACTTTCGAAATTGTTTTTTTCAACTCTATTTTGGTAGAATTCACACTAACAGAATTGAAGAAATCACACTATATTATACTAAACTATAGAGTTAAATCATATCATTTACTCTAAAGCTTAGTGGTCCTGGGAATAGGTATAGTGTTCAATTCCACTCTATTTTTTCACTGTGAAATAAGAATTACTCTAATCAATATTCTTATTTCTTCGACTTTATTGCTTCATTCAAGAATACATCATGCTTCATTTGGGAAAAAAGTTTGAAGAGAAGAAATATAGATTATTGAGAAAATATCGAATAACTTAGCTTTGGATGTTTCGGGAACGAATCTAATCCCGTTTTCAACATGGAAATGCAAAATATTTCTCTTCGAAAATTCTGTTCTAGTATTACACTGGAAAGTATTTTTCTGCAAATAAAAATGTTTCGTGATAAAAAAATATTCCTTCGAATATATATAAACAAACCATATGCTTGAAGCGAAGCAGACATGAAAAAAATACTTTTTTGGTTAGAGACATTTTTTGTGTGTATATATTTGTGACTCCCTCTCTGATAAATTTCCATTCATCCTTTCATTCCATATGATGTGTGAAGCGAAGTTCGAGTTTTCTTGTGTATCTAAAGGAAAATGAATTCACAAAATCCAATTCTCATCATCCCTTTATCATCATCCCCATGCTCGAAATGCTTGTAATGTTATGAATGAGTATTGGGGTGAAATTAATGTTCATTTAAAATCCTTTGAATTGGTACCTACTTATATTTCCAAATCCTTGGAAGCTACTGAAATGGAACTGAATATAGTAGCGTGGAAATATGGTCTAACGCATCCATCCATCATCCCTCGTTTTCTTCATATTTTCGTTTACTGATTTCGGAAAATATTCACATTTTTTATAGATACTGATCAATCTATCTATTTATCTATATCTACTTATTAAATATTCATTTGCGTCCATCAAATAGACATGAAAAATATTTCTTCTGCAATTTATTTTTTGATGGTCTCAATACCTGACCATATTCATTTATTCTCGACCACCCTGTGGTTGAGAACCAGTTTGGACTAATTTTTGTTTCTCGATCATATCATATTTGATTATCTCTTATTCCTAAGTATGAAATGATTTTTACATTAAAATATTCCCCATATTTCACCATGAATATGTATTTATTATACCTATCATTGTAGCTGCACATATTCATAAATTTGGTTTGTGTTGATTTTTATTATTCATATAGCTCTTTTAGGAATTGAAAACAATGACAGGGGCAATGATCATTAGGTCATTTTATATATGTTTGCAAATAAATCTTTTTTGATCCTTCAATATTCAGGAGTGTGCTTGAGTATAAAATGATTTTTGCATTACAATCTTTATTGTTACATGTCAAGTGTTTTTCAATAATTTCATTTTCTTGTGAATCAATCTGTTGGACGGTGATGATCGACCACCCTGCGGGGTGGTCAAGAACCAGTGAATAAATTGTAGATTTTTTCCCTTCATCGAGATTTCGAATGTTGAATTCAAAAAAACGCTTGAGACATATCTATCAAATTACTTTCAAGTTATTAGGGGATCGGTACCTTACCTATACACTAGCTCCACTAAAATAGGTAGGTATAAGCTTTAACACGTATTTTCTACTCTTAAAATGTTGACATTTCGATTTAATGGTCGAGAACCAGTGCATTACTATATACTGGGTATATCCCTTATTCAAATAAGAAAGTTTGAGTGTCATTTGGATTGACCCTGTATAGATTCGATTTATTCGATACCATATATTTCGAGATATAGGTGAAATCATCAATCAGGCATACAATTTGAAGTCATTAGATGGATCGATTGCATTTTCACAGGAGCACTTTTGCTGGGACACGATATTTCCTATACTATACTGCACGATTATGTCAAAAGATGGTTTTTGATCCATCAGTTCTTATTAAATTGAAATCCACCATTTTGACTTTGATGGAATATACTATCGTTCAAGATCCAAGAATGAGATTGAGAATTTTGACCACCTTGTACAATGAGCATGACGCGTGTTTGGAGAAGTAGCGTGCTTGTACATAATAAAAAATAGGAGATGATGTGAATTTGATGTTATACGCGTGCCGCATCCTATCAAAGTTTTCGGTCAAATTTCGCAACGAAATAGGTAAGTAGGTATAATACCTACCTATACTTCTCGACCTTATCCAAAATATTGAGTCAAATCTTTTATGGCTGTCAAAAATAATTATACCTTGTATATAATCAAGGCTGCTGAAGCAAAAAAGCAAAAGTTTAACGGTTGTGAGTTGTGATTATGGAAATTGTTACCTATATGACATAATTTATTTCATTAGAGTTTGCATCATTTCTGGTCATCAGTTTGAGTTTGGAACGCTATGGGTAATTAAATCCCGAATTGCTCGGAAAACTTGCTTGGCAAGTGAAAATATTATTTTCCTCAACCTATTAGCAATGAACTCAATATAAACACCATATCTGTGAACATAGATTAAAAAAACAATTTTAATCTATGCTGTGACCATATTGAGTTCATTGCCTATTAGCGGTAGCGTGGCGCCATCTCAAGATCATATTCTCAAACTCACATTCGATTTTGAATGCAGTTTTCTGTTTTTCTAATTGTCACATAAGTAGATACCTACCAAGATCCAGATACCTACCGTATCATAATATGAAGTTATTTCCTAGTGCAGTGTGGGTAGATGGCCCTGAAATCGATTCGATACGGACTTTTCATGAGTGGTTGAGTCGAGTTCAGAGCAAACATAAACAGTATTATGTGACAACACAATGTAAAATAATCAGGTTTGTAATTTACAAATGAATATATGATTATGTCATACGTGTGCCATCTTACTCAATTTGTCATTTTATTTTGAAATTCTTATCTAACACGATCCCAGACTGCACAAAGTGAAAGTGATTTTGAGAACGTCATAGATAGTCGATGCGTCAATCTATGCAGAAACAAAAAAAGCAAATACGAACCAATGAGAACAAAGGTAACGGGCCGCTTTGACAGCTTCAATATACTCCCGATAGATCGCGTACGCTTATTTTCTATCGCTCTATAGTATGCTATGGCGAAATAAGTATTATGTTCAGTGTCGCTGTTTTCATAATTTCAATTTGTACTAGAAGTCATTCTGAAATTGTAGTAAAATCAAGTATATTGTACTAATTTAAGAAAATAACATTTCAAAATTAAGGATTTACGCATTTGATGAAAAACTCCATATTTATTCATAAAATTTCAAAATAGTACTATACAGCACATAAAACACCTCTGAAAAACGTAGGTCATGAAACAATTATAACTAATAAAAACCGAAAATAATAAGAGATGAAAAGGAACAGATCAGATTAAAGATTGAGATCAAATACTATCAGACTATCAACATCTATCAATAAGATAAAATAGATGACTCATCAAACTTCGAAGTCAAATCAATTCATCAATAAAATTATGCACTTTTTATCAATGAGGGCTTCATTATGATCATAGGATTCCAATTATAACATATCTCCGAAATTTTTTTTTAATACAAAATAGCTCGGGGCTATCCGGTTCTAGGTACTAGATCAGTAATAATTGTATTGACGTATTAATGTGTATGAAATTGTACTAGAACCTAATGTACGATATGAGCGCTCCTATCGCTGCGTTGATCTAGGGAGCTGACCCGTCCATGTGTGACAATCACTTCAGACGAGCGTACTAGATGAACACCATCTTATGTTTGAATTATTTTACACCGGGACAGCGCGTACGCAGTCCCGACTACCAAAAATTACACGTCCGAGTTATTCGCATTAGGAATAATCGCAGGGGTCAGCCCAGCCGAAGTGCAATGGGAGGGCCTCACCCTGGGGGAACCGCCTTGTTGATCACGGTTAACCCCTACGCCAGGTAAGTATGCTTTCCGAACGTCTCGCACCACTATTTATCCGCTCTCGTCCGATCGGCAGCGATGAAAAGTGACTAACCAACTACAGCGCCATCTATCAAAGTGATAATAGAACTAGTAAGAGCATACTATAGATCAATATGCGAATGAATGTATATAAATCACAAAAATTTTACAGTACAATAT